AAGAATATCTGATGTTTTAAGCATTGTGATTTGTCCATCATGACGTGAAAAATATGAAGAATTGGATCCTATGACAGCAAAAAAATATTGCATTCTCGATTTGCTGCTTGCCTTTCCCTCTCGTGCAGCATTGGATTTCACAAATCTTTTCGTTTATCTCAACTCGTTTGTTCGTTGCGTGAAGAACCCTTTCAGCATCTTGGTTCTTCTTTTGTTATGTAGGATTCTTTGACACGGCATATGTATGTTGGACATATCTCTCAGGATGCCATTGTAACGATGAAATAGATGTATCATAATCTTGCTTAAGAACAAAACGGAAAATTTTATTATGGTTTTCAATACATATTCAAGGGACCTCTTTTCTGAACTCAAATTAGCTGCAAAAAAGTGGAACAACTTTGAACTGATTGCGTTGGCCAAAAGTAATTCAGACATGACATGATTTGCTCTCCTTGCTAAACTATGTTAAGATCTCAAATAGTTCGTGTTTGAAAAAATGTCAATTTAGTTCACTTCCCCAAGCAAATGAGTTGAGGAAAATGTAACGTTTAACTAATGCAAAAGGCAAAAAAGTGAAATAGTTTGTTACACTAAACAAACCGGTGTGTAAAGGATGCAATACAATCTAATACAAAGTAAATTGTACTGGATACAAAAGAATAAAGTCTAACAGAGAGATCTTTGATGCAAATCGTACTATCTTTTTTCAATTTTTGGTAGGAAAAATTTTGAGTATATTTGGCTCTAATCACCACCACGAGTCAGTATTTCCCCTTTGTACCATATATTGCTTACAAGGGTTGGGTCGGTTTGGCATTAGGGTATATCTTTGGGATTGTAAGCCCCTTATAAGGGTTTTATAGATTGCTTACCAATACAGTTTTCATATTGACAACGACATTCAAACACTCTTTGTTTGGATTAGCTGTTTTTTAGGGTGTTTTTGAAAAATTTTACTGTAGCAGAGTTTTTAGAGTTTATTTTGGGATTTTTTAGAAAATATTTTGAAATATTTAAGAGTAGTAGAGTTAAAATATATTTTGGGATATTTTTTAAACATAAAAAAAAATTTAGACCACTTTTCAGAGTAGCTTTTAGAGTACTTTTTAAAAGATTTTTGAAAAATTAGTTTTTGAAAAACTGAAGGATCCAAACAGTTTTAAGTTCGTCGTTATCAACTGGACCAACCTGTGTTGGCTATCATTTTGCTAGTTGCTAGCCGTGCCTGTAATTGATTCAGTTGATACTAGAGTAAGTGGTAGAAATTATAACGTAAAATTGCAGCAAAAGCCCCATAAGTTCCGTTTTGTTACCATCTAAGGTGAATCATGGACGCTATCTTTAATTTAATTTCTAGAAGAACCATTTTAACATGACACCTAGAACTATCAACCCAAGTCGCTAAAATTGCAAAGAAAGAAATGGGAACACAAATAAAAATAATCATAAACTGAGATATCAAAAAGGAAAACTATCCACTACACAAGCCGCCTTGAATAATTCTGACTAGTCTGAACTTATACAACATGATTTGAGCAATGATGTTTCTCCAAATCCTTCTTCTTCTTTTTTTAAAGAAAGGACTAAGAGAAAAGGGGAATGAGTAATGGTGTCCCTAACTTGCGAGTTTGCCGTCATTGACAGCGCTTTTTACGTGTTGCCTTGAAAATTATTCAATACACACAACACGTAATATTGACATTTGACCATGTTCTGAAACTTTATTACTTTATGCCCTATGATTGCCATCAATCTTTTAGCACGAGAGTTTCTCAATAAACGTATTATTCATTAGGCAAATCAGAGTTAAAAAAAAAAAAAACGAGAGAGAGAGAGGGAAAATGGTTAAACATGTAATGTCGTTTGGATTTTTATTTTCTAAGACAAAATTTTAATGCTCTCCGTAAATATAATTTTCAATTACTTTTTTCACTTCATATACATCAAATCGCTGTAGTACACTTTTTTCTACTAAAATTTCAACAAAAAAAAAATAGAAATCCAAATTCTCACAAATTCTAGCTCTTAATCATTAAAAGCCAGTCATAATGATACACTTAAATCGATCAGGAATTTATACAACAAATGTACAAGGATAAGTGGTCAATGCCTCCGGTTGATTATCTCCAATATTAGCAAGGCCTACAAGTCACAACTACGGTGCATATTACCAGACAGGAAAGTTCCTGTCTCCTCTGTCCCGGCCTCTAGTCAAAGAGGTACTACGCCACTTCATTTTTCTTCCTCGACGCTGCATGTATAAAAGGAGGTTTTGCATGAGGCTCATCTCAACTTATTTAACAGTATTCTTTCTTTCGATCATAAGTCGCTTACACTTCTGATCAAAACCCTTTTCTTCTCGATCATTTTTAGCCATGGAAATCGTAGAAAACTTGGGAGATGTATTGTTTAAAGTGGGCTTGTTTGTTTTAGTTCAAGCTCTAGTGTATCTTATTTTATCCCAGTCTTCCAACGTCTTCTCCAACACACAAAGGTCCTTTAGTTTCAAGCCTGCCCGGTCGATCAGCATCCGGCGGATGGCGGCGGCTTTGGCGGATATCCCGGCCGGAGGAGAGTCGTCTCCTACTGCTAATTGTGGAAGATCTCTCACCAGACAGAAGTCAACCTTGCAGGAATATTATTCTGATTGATTATTCTGGAAGAGTAGAATATTTTTCCATAAAACTTTATGCCTAGATTTTGTGGGTGATTTCACAATTATTATTATTATTAGTATTTTGATTTTGGTGTTTTTAGCCTTTTAGGTATGGTTTTGTTCCTTGAGAGTAGTTGAAACACAACTCTTATGATTCTTTTGTAAATATGGATTTTCTGTTGGCCTCAACAATAAATAATTTTGATTTTCTTGTTTGGCACTTTGAAGTTTACTGTTATTGGATTTAAAAAAACAGAAAAGGTTTTTGGCTACTTCAATATATTTTTTTGGTGGAAATATCATTTTACTCAGGGATCGATTTTAAAAGATGGATTAGGTATTTGATTTTTGATCATTGATGAAAGTCAAACATTGACATATTTGCTTGGATACAAAATTATATCAGATATTTACATTATAAATATATTTTTCAATTCACTTTTTCTTTGTATTTAAATTACGTTTTTATTTCATATATATCATATCATAAAAGTGTTACAGTAATTATTCTAAATAATATTTCAAATAATATCCTATCCAAGGGCATAGATTTTCACAATTTAAGTGGGGTAGACCAAACAATACTACATAATAAGGCAAAATGGTTTAACTTTGTTCGGATAGAGTATTATTCCAAATAATTATTTAGAATAATTACTGTAATACTTTTTGTGATGTGATGTATGTGAGATAAAAAGGTGATTGAGAATATAAAAAGGTAGATTGAGAAATATGTTTATGATGCAAGTGAAATTTTTCTTTGGAAAAATTATTTATCAAATAATTTGTTTCCGATCGCAATACTGTAATTGATCATTTGATTAAACTTTTCGGCAGTCCTAAACTGATCCAAAAGTTGACAAGGTTTGCCTAACTTGATAGAGGAGGAGTTGGTGCTTAGTTTACAAAAAAATTGCATAATATGGTCCAGTATAATATCTACCTTGTATATAAGAAGGGAGCAAGGTTTAGTGTTTTCCTTTCCTTATGCCACGCGGCTTCTTAATTATCTGACAAATGGCAACGTACAATGTTTCTTGCAAATTGTCTAAAGCTTTCTCTTGTCCGAAGCCTTGTATTTCCTTCTTTTGGCATTGAACTGTTCCTTTCTCAATTCTCGTTAGTGCTCCCCTTATCTTTTGCCATAGGCTTCTTAATTCTCTAACAAGTGGCAAAGTCAAATATTCCTTGCAACTTGACCGAAGCTTTTTCCTTCTTTTGGCAATGCACTGTTTCTTTCTCAGTCAGATTGCCATTGAAACCTTTTCCTCTTTTCTCTCTACCACATGACTATTCTGAGCAAAAATTCGCCGCACCTATTCTGAGCAAGTCCAATTCCAAACGCCTATACTATCAAACCCAGCAGGTCAGCAACCCTCTTCAAGCATGTAAAAAGTTTGGATTTTTTCATGATTTGTGAGATGGGCTTTGTGAGTTCCTTTTTCAAGCCAGTGGGTCAATGGCTACTCTTGCAGACGTTTGATTGCTGATTACTCACATGGTGTTTATACTTTAGAGGAGGAAAATTGGGAGCAGGTGAACTACTTAACCCATTTCTGTATCAATTTTATGTTGCCCAATTGTTGGACACTCACGTGATAATTGTACTTTAAAGGAGTGAAATTGGGGGATTTTTTGTTAGATTAGGTATGGCATTCTATTCTTATTAGCTTTGCTATTCAATTTTCCGCTCAAATCATGCTTCTATTCAATTCTCATCAGACGTACGATTATAATGAGAAATATCTGTTTAGATGTGATTTTCCTCTTATTCCAGTTATGATAAGAAATAGGTTTCCTATTCACTTATCTTGGACCTTTTCCAGTGATTTACGAAATCAAAAAAATGGAATAGACGTATTTATCAGTGCATGGTGCTAGCTCCTCTGCCTTATGAACTACAAGAAGAAGCCTCCGAGTCTTTACACCTTGTTCTCTGGAGTCTCTTTGGTGAGAAAAAATCTTCCCCTTTTTTTTGCCAAATTTTCGACGTATAAATAATACACAGATTAATAAATTCTAATATACATAGATGCTTCAATTGATAGGTTCCTTTTGCTGCGGTTCCTCTAAGGAATCCTTTAACTTGAAGGTCAGTTTGTTGTCTTTCTTGAATCTATGAATAGCTTTTCTTCATTTATGTGACTATATTTTCATAAGTAAAATTTCACTTTTCCCTTTTCTTTTTAATAGTTTTTTTTTTCAGTTTCTGCTTCATTTATTTTAAGTTTATTGGTGCTATTTGTTTTGTGTGATTCTTTGTGAAACAAATGATTGCTTATTTGAGAAGGTGATTTTGTTAATATTGATAGTTATACTTTTTCTGCAAATAAAGCACAATAAATAAAGGAGAAAATTGGTAAAAACTTAAAGCTTGATGCAAACATTCTTCATCATCCACTCCAAACTCCAGTGGTTGATGACATTTTTAAGAGTCCAATGAGCCTGTTGATGACTACAACCCTTTGGTAATCTTCTTTTGTGTCCTATTGCAACCCTTTGACAATTATGCTACTGCTACCCATTCACCTAAAAAAACAAGCCAAAAATGAAGATACCAATCACTAGCTTTTAAATTGCTCTATTACTTAATGAAAACTAGCACTTTTATTATTAGACTTATTCCTGACAACTAAGCCTGGGAGTGGCCTTCTGATTAATCCTCCCACTTCTGAAGCAAATGCACTCAAAGAATGGTACGTATGTTCTTTCATCATTTAAGTTAAACTTTTCTAGATCCTTTTGATAAATTATAGTCTGTTGCATTAATTTTTTGGATAGGTATAATGCAAATAAAGAAGAAATTGCAGAGTTGATACAACAAATGGCATACAAAGATTCATCTAAGTTGTTGCCACCTCCAAGTGCTAATGACATGATTAGTGTAGCCAATGCACTTAACACACTCAAAGATGTATCTTCCTTTTTCATTTATATCTTGATTTATATCTTTTAGCCATCCAAAATAATGCAAGACTCAGGTGTTCTTCTTTCTGTTCGCAAAAACATCTATTAGGTGAAAACAACTTGGATAATAAGAAAAATCAGTTTGACCCCTGGGCAATAAAAATTCTGGTTTGAAGCATGTGAGAACTGCCAAAAGGCTATCAATGTTGACGTATGATGGGTTATGAGATGCTCATCTTGCAAAGAAGAGAGCAAAGTTGTAGCAAGGTAATTACCAAATTAAGTTTCCTTCTCTTGTAATGAAAAATTAGAATATAATATTTTATTTCCAATGTGTAATAGGACCCGAATTGGGATTACTATGGATGATAGTACGGGCTCCATAAACACTATTATCTTTGACCTTGATGCTGAAAAGCTTATCCCATTTACAGTGCTTCAATTTTGGGAAGCTCATAATGAGGTAAGCTAACAATCTTGGCAACAAAAAATTCTGCTACAAGTTTAACTCTTGCATGATAATACAACTACCAGCTTAATACATCTTGCTTAAAGTTGTCGATTCTTTTTCCCTTCATAGATTTCTTAATTTTCCCCTTCAACTACCATGAACTTCATGTGCTGATAGGTTGCAATTTTATCATTTATTTTATTATTAATTTTCCCTATTACCTGACCCGATGTAGATTAATTGCTAGATTCTGCTCACTTTTGATATTTTACATTTATTTCAGTGAGTAGAACGAAAATATCATAACAAGTGCCAATTTGACAATCGTTAGAAAGGAGTTCAATTAGCAAGTGTCCAGGGGTATTTTTGGAATATCAAGACGCGACCCATTTTGGTAATTTGCGAAAGACAGCACTGGAAAAAAGGAACAAAAGACCGAAGTCTTCCTTACCGTTGGGGGGCGCCGCACAATAACTAGGCATTAGAGTAGAAGCATCAAATAGGAAATAGGAATAGCAGGGAACTAGCACTAATGGAGATTTAGCTTTTGACTTTTCTTCGCATAGGCTCTTGGTAGCTTTATTCACTTGTATGTCAAGACCAATTGAAACATTGAATGATTCTCTGTGACTTCGCTTTTCGTCAACATTCGATGAGTTGAATTTGCCAAATTCCCAAGACAATGGCCGCAACTTTCTTTTCAATTTTGTATGGATTTTTTGCATCGAATATGGCCTAATTTTCTTACTCTAGTCAAGGGACAACAGAGGCTCTGACTCGCCTAAAAATTGTGAGATTAATTTAATTTTATCCTTTCCTTTTATTTATTGGTATTCGCATATTTCTTGATTGCAATACTTATGATTATTTAATTAATTGATTGTCTTGGATCCGGATAATTAGTTAATTTGATAATCTATTGTCAATTAGGGCATTAAATTCGTAATTGTTTAATTACCTCAAAATAGTGTCAACTGGCATGATTAGATTTGTGTCGGGAGAATACGCGAGCTAATCTAAAATAACCCTGATAGTGTGTTATTTGATTAGAATAGAACTCCTCTAATACGTAAGACAATTGGAGAATTAAATCTTACGGATGTATTTAAAATTATTTCTCAATTAGGACAGTGATTAATGGGCGTACCTTAATTACTGGCACAGTAAGGAGGGGTTGACTGTCATTGCTTGTTTGACAATTATAATCTATTTATTAGTAAATAATTGGAATTGCCTTTATTTCAATGATCAATTAAATGAACCATTGTTGAGGTTATTTCTTAGCTAGATCATTAGTTATCATTCATTTGACTTTAGTAAATTGTTATTTAATTTTTAGTAGTTTCTTGAATTTTATTTGCATTTATTTGATTGTCACCTTCTGCACAAAAATACTCCCTGATTATTGTGAATTTGAAAAGAAACAGTTACACCCAATCCCTGTGGATTCGACCTTATTTACCACTATCTACAGAAATTAACTTTAGTTGAACAGATTTTTATTATTACACATGCCCGACACCTGTCAATTTTTGGCGCCGTTGTCGGGGACTGGTGCCAGATTAATTTGTTTCTTTTTGAGTTCATCTTGTTTTCATTTTTTTATTTATTTTTCTCTTATTTTTTTATATAGTTTATGGCTGTTAACATTCCATATTTTGATGATAGACTGGACTTTATTCCTGAATGGGGTTATGAGACTCGTGTTTTTCCTAATGATCAATGGGTTGTTGCAAATTGTGAAACTTATTTTGTCTCAGATTATTCAACCGACACATGCCCTGCATTTTAAGATAATCTAAGTGCTCCAATTGATACTTTTGGAGATTTTTCACCTCGATTTCAAACGTGGTATAACCCTTACCCAAACAGGTATGATCAAGGATTGTGGGATAATTCCAATTTTAATTATACGACCGGTCCAATGAATTTTCAACAGCAAGAGTCTCAACAACCATCATCCATGTCATGTATGTCTCTTGAAAAAATGATTGAATTACTAGCTACTAATACATATCGATTTTATCAGGAGACACAAACGAGTATTCGTAACATGGCAGATCAAGTGCATCTACTGACATCCAAGATAACGCAATTGGCTTCTTACATTTGTGAAGAATTGCCCTCACAGATCAACATCAACCTTGAGAAAGATGAGAGTGCAATTATCCGGTCAAATGGCATAGAACTGCAAGAGTTTCAAGGAAACGAATCTAAAGATGCAGTTGAAAAAAAAGTTGATGTGCAAAAAATGAGCCCTCAATATCAACTCGTCCAAGTGAATGAATCCAATGAACAACCTCCAAATGCGGTTACATCTCCTCCATTTCTTAATCAATATTCTCCTGACTCTTATTCTTTAATTTCTGTTAATGAATTGACTTTATTATACTAGAAAATCTTGAATTTCATGACAAGAATAAATTAAGAGTGGCAATGCAAGATATCTTGGACCAATAAATACATGTGAGGGAGGATTGAATGGAGAATTCAAATTATCGTTGATTTGTTTGGCGCCATTTACTAGTCCATGGAAGACTGTAACTCGTGTACTCAAGAATTACTCTATTTACGAGGGTTATTAGAACTATATAGAGAATGAATCATTAAAACGAGTCACAAGATTTTATCCTCCATGAACAAACATGACAATGTCTAGTCAAAAACGTTAAAAAAAGGCGCTCATTGGGAGGCAGCCCAATTTCTTTTAGTCATTTGTTCGTTTTTATTTGTTAGTTTAAATATGTTTTCCTTGAATTTGACTGATTTCGGGTTTCAATTTTCGTTTTTTATGATTTGTAGGTGTCTCTTTGACTTGACGCGCCCACGTCAAGTCGTTTGGAGAGCTCATTGTCAGAAAGGTTCTTGCCTTTTTGACGCGCCCGCATCAAGTCGTATGGAGAGCCCATGGTCAGAAGAGTTCCTGCCCTCTTGACGTGCCCACGTCACGTTCGCGGGAAAGGTAAGTATTCAAAATTCGAAAACAGATTTCGATTTCCTGTTACTCTCTAATTTTGAATTTCGATAATAAGTTTTGTTCATAATAATAATATTCAAAAAAATAAAAAAAATTATAATTACCAAAAAAAAAAATGGGTCTTTCCGTTTAACTATAACTTCTGATTTCCAAAATTAGAATTTACAAAAAACTAAAAATGAAAAAATAAAGAAAAAATAAAAAAAAACTATTTTGTTTTTGTTTTTCTCTTTTCTTTTTTTTCTTTCTTTGCTTTTTCTTTCTTTCTCTTTTCTTTCTTTCTTCTCCCCTGTTTCTTCTTCTCTTTCGCCCGAGCACCCCTCACGCCTGCCGCTATCTCGCTCATCATCCACGTCACGTCGCCGCCACTTCCAGCCGCTCCATCATCGTGCTTCGGAAACCCACTTGTATTTGGCAGCTCTCATGCATCATGCGGGTCTTACACCTCACTTTGGTTATCACCCACCATTTTGACCCGATTTCAAGGAAATTTTGTTGCCCTATCTCCTACTTTTAATATTTATTTGCTACATTGGGGGCAATGTATCGTTTAGGTGTGGGGGGATCAGCTGTGGTGCTAGTTTTACTAATTTTTAGTTTCTATTTTTTTCCTTTATTTTTAGTTAGTTATTTGTCTATCTTTCATTCATTCTCTTTCTTTTTTTTTAGTGCTTAACTCTCATGTGAATACCAAAGTTTAATGTTGGGTTATTAACTCTAATTCTACTATTGCCATGTTTTAATAATAAAAAGTGTATCTAATTAATGTGGTTGAACTCAAGAACATCTCTTTAGTGAATATCGGTGATTATTTGACTCTTTTAATTTTTGGTTAACTTTTCTAGGCCTTGAGAATTATTGCTGGCATTTTCATGTGAATTGGTCCAATGATTAACTTTAGTTATCCATGTTTGAAAAAAATGTGGCCAGCTGCTTTTTCTTTGTGATATTGTGAGATATTGTGTTATCTGATTGTGAAATAAAATTGATTGTACTCCGCTATTTGTTACTACTGAGTAACCAGGGATCTTCATCTAAAGTGTCGATTCTCGCATCAAAATGTATTAATTTCTATGAGTACGTGGTCGTATAGCGATAGGAGTTGAGTAACCGGGCTCCTTCATCTGACAAATGTTAGAGTTCGCGTCAAAAGGCTCCGACAGCTAGAGACTAAGTTTTTTGTGCTATTGAAAAAAAAGAAAAAAAAATAAAGGGTTAAAAACAAAAAAACCCCTGTGGTATAGCTATCATACAGAAAAGCCCCCTGTGGTTTGATATCATACGCATCGGTACCTCATAGTTTGAATTATTTTAAAAAATGGACGGAAATCGTCAAATGTACGGCGTTTTTCTTAAACACACTAGAAATGCGCGTGTTTCTTGTGGAAAATAGATTTCTACCACAAACTTGTTCCTAATATGCCTACTTTACCCTTCACACTTTAATAACAAGAGAACTTTACCTTTCGACACCTTTTCTTCTGCTTGATTCCTCTTGGATCCCAGTGTTTTCAACAATCTGATATTCAATCTTTATATGCATCTCTTTGGTATACAAGAGCAGGCTAGACCTAGCTCAACACGTCTTTTAACCTCATCCAAAGCACAGCTAACAGCATTTTGAAATGCTTCTGAGTTACTTTGCTTCTCTATCTGAGAGAAATGTGGCCGGAAGGGCTTTAGGAGAGATGCATCATTCCAGGCAAAAGTTCGGTCTCCAAAATATGCTACGAGAAAACAGTCCTTTTTGTAATATTTGACTGCCTTCTCTGAAGCATCAGCAGGATCAGATATTTGTCCAGGTCACCAAGGATGGCTTCTGACTTTCCCCAAACTAAATCTGTTATGGAGAATTCATTTTCATTCTGTGGTGGCGAAACATATCCAGCTTGATGTATACTCAGCAAGCTTGGAAGCTTTTCTGTTTTCTCGTCCATTCTTTCTGTTGGGTCCGTCTTAGAAGCATTTTCTGGACTTGATAAATCTTGCTCTTTATGGTTAACCTGTCCATCATGCTGGTACTATTCTCCAACTCCTATATCTTTCTAGTCCTCTAAAGACTTAGTATCTGGAATAGCAACCTGCATCAGATTATTAGGAATATCAATCTGCATCACATCATTACCATTGGTCTGGCGGCATTCACTTTTGCTTTCAACCAACTGAGACACTACCCCAGATTCTGCTGTTCTATTGGTTTGATCCCCATTTGGTTGAAAAGTTTCATGACTGCCAATATCAACCTCGCCATGGAGACATTCAGAAACACCTGCACCTTCAGATCGATCAGAATCTTGAGCATTAGAGAGAGAAGCATCAGTATCGATACCAGTACAAGATACTTCTGCAATTTTCGCTTATATTAAAAGGGTATTTTCGTCGTTTCACTTAACCCTGTTACATTTGACGATTTCCGTCGATTTTTCAGAATAATTCAAACCATAGGGTACCGACACGTATGATATGAAACCACGGGGGATTTTTCTGTATAATAGCTATACCACAGGGGGCTTTTATGTTGTTAACCCAAAAATAAATAACGAAAAAAAAGTAACAGTTATGTTAGTGTGTGATAAAAGTCAGCTGCCGATTTGTGGATTTAATGTTGAGATTTTAGTTAATAATTGGACCATTTGCTGATAAATGTTGTGTGTCATTCCTTTTTTTTAGATTAGTTAACCTAGAATTGAAGGAGTTTGTGGTTTAGA